CACAAAGCCTGCCTCACTTGCCTCGCACTCTAGTCATCCAGTGAGGGCACGGGGCAGGCGAGGGGTCCTCCACACGAGGCCTGGCCTCGCACAAAGCCTGCCTCACTTGCCTCACACTCTAGTCATCCAGTGAGGGAGCGGGGCAGGCCAGGGGTCCTCCACACGAGGCCTGGCCTCGCAAAGCCCGCCTCGCCTGCCTTGCACTCTACTCATCCAGCGAGGGTGCGGGGCAGGCGAGGGGTCCTCCACTCGAGGCCTGGCCTCGCACAAAGCCTGCCTCACTTGCCTCGCACTCTAGTCATCCAGCAAGGGTGTGGGGCAGGCGAGGGGTCCTCCACCCGAGGCCTGGCCTCGCACAAAGCCCGCCTCACCTGCCTTGCACTCTACTCATCCAGCGAGGGTGCGGGGCAGGCGAGGGGTCCTCCACTCTAGGCCTGGCCTCGCACAAAGCCTGCCTCACTTGCCTCGCACTCTAGTCATCCAGCAAGGGTGTGGGGCAGGCGAGGGGTCCTCCACACGAGGCCTGGCCTCGCACAAAGCCTGCCTCACTTGCCTCACACTCTAGTCATCCAGTGAGGGCACGGGGCAGGCGAGGGGTCCTCCACACGAGGCCTGGCCTTGCGCAAAACCCGCCTCGCCTGCCTCGCACTCTAGTCATCCAGCGAAGGCACGGGGCAAGTGAGGGGTCCTCCACACGAGGCCTGGCCTCGCGCAAAGCCCGCCTCGCCTGCCTTGCACTCTACTCATCCAGCGAGGGTGCGGGGCAGGCGAGGGGTCCTCCACCCGAGGCCTGGCCTCGCACAAAGCCTGCCTCACTTGCCTCACACTCTAGTCATCCAGTGAGGGCACGGGGCAGGCGAGGGGTCCTCCACACGAGGCCTGGCCTCGCACAAAGCCTGCCTCACTTGCCTCACACTCTAGTCATCCAGTGAGGGCGCGGGGCAGGCGAGGGGTCCTCCACACGAGGCCTGGCCTCGCACAAAGCCTGCCTCACTTGCCTCACACTCTAGTCATCCAGTGAGGGCGCGGGGCAGGCAAGGGGTCCTCCACACGAGGCCTGGCCTCATGCAAAGCTTGCCTCACGCTCTCACCATCCAAGAGTGTGAGGCAGGCGAGGTTGGGGGTCACCACATGGTTGGGGGTCACCACAACATGAGGAACCATATTTAGGGGTAGATAGATAGATAGATAGATAAATAGATAGATAGATAGATAGATCAACCTCGTGTCCCCGTGCTGTGATGGGATTGTGTGCCCCGCAGGCCTTTGGCTCCCCCAGGAAGCTCCTTCTTCTCGGCGGGTGCCCCCCCCCATCCCCTTCCTCTCCCCTTCCTCTCCCTCCTTCCTGCTGATTCATTACGTGTCAGGGAGCCAAGCGTGACGTGTTAAGAGCCATCTTGATAGTATTTTATATTCAGCCGCTCTTGGCTGGCTCGGAGGAGGCTTGTGTTGGGGAGCGGGGGGGGCGGGAAAGCGAGACAATCTGCATATTGGATGTGCCAAGAGAGGCCCGTAATTTACATTAAGCCTCCCGAAATTCTCTCTTTTGCAATCTGTCACCCTTCAGTGGCTTTCCGTTTTATAACCTTCAAAACAGAAGCACCAGGAGGGAGGGAAGGAGGGATGGAGGGAAGGAGGGATGGGAGGGAGGGAGGGAGGAAAGGAGGAGGAGATGGCCATTTGGGGGAGCCCAACGCAAGGCAGGGCAGGCCGTTTGGAAAGAGCACTCTCTGGCTTCACACACCACGGTGGAGCATGGAGGATACACCACACAACCCTGAACCAAACTGGAGACTTGAATTCACTATTAGATTAGCCAGATATTCCGGTACCGCCTCTTCAAACTCTACCATGCTGTGTTGCTGTGAGTTTTCTGGGCTGTCTGGCCATGTTCCAGAAGCATTCTCTCCTGACGTTTCAACCACATCTATGGCAGCCCTCCTCAGATTCACCGCTGACTTCCACAGACCACTGAGACCTCCACACAGAACTCCCATGTCAGACAAAAAGTACTGGAGGGGTTTGGGAGGAATTGACAGTGATTTAGAAAGACCGTCTTGGGTGCACTTTCTCAATGCACCCAAAACGCACTCAAGGCCTCGCACGGAGGACCCCTCGCCTGCCTCGTGCCCTTGCCGGATGGCGAGAGTGCGAGGCAGGTGAGGCGGGCTTTGCGCAAGGCCAGGCCTCGTGTGGAGCACCCCTCACCTGCCTCGCGCCCTTGCCGGATGGTGAGAGTGCGAGGCAGGTGAGGCGGGCTTTGCGCAAAGCAAGGCCTCGCACGGAGGACCCCTCGCCTGCCTCACGCCCTTGCCAGATGGCGAGAGTGCGAGGCAGGTGAGGCGGGCTTTGCGCAAAGCAAGGCCTCGCACGGAGGACCCCTCGCCTGCCTCACGCCCTTGCCAGATGGCGAGAGTGCGAGGCAGGTGAGGCGGGCTTTGCGCAAAGCAAGGCCTCGCACGGAGGACCCCTCGCCTACCTCGCACCCTTGCCGGATGGTGAGAGAGCAAGGAAGGTAAGGCGGGTTTTGCGCAAGGCAAGGCCTTGCATGGAGGACCCCTCGCCTGCCTCGTGCCCTTGCTGGATGGTGAGAGTGTGAGGCAGGTGAGGCATCATGTGAAGGAGCCCTCGGCTGGCCGTGCCCTTGGGGCAGGACCAATGGAGGTGGCCTCGCGACCCCTCCGAAATGGCCAGGCGACCCCCCTGGGGGCCGCGACCCCCCGGTTGAGAACCGCTGTTCTAGAACATGGCCAGACAGCCCAGAAAACTCACAGCAACCCAGTTGTGAGGTGTGTTGGAAACTGGGCAAGTAAGGTTTATATATCTGGAATAATGTCCAGGTGGGAGAGAGATATTGTTTGTGGGAGGCAAGTGGGAATGTTGTAATTGGCTAATCAATTCTAATCAAGGTAGCCAATTGCAACATTCACACTTGCCTCGAGCAGACAAGAGCTCTCTCTCTCCCACCCTGGACAGTATTCCAGATATATAATCCCCACTTGCCCAGTTTCCAACAGACCTCACAACTGGGTTGCTGTGAGTTTACCAGGCTGTCTGGCCATGTTCCAGAAGCATTCTCTCCTAACGTTTCGCCCACATCTATGGCATCCCTCCTCAGAGGTTGCGAGGTCTGTTGGAAACGAGGCAACTGAGGTTTATACATCTGTGGAATGTCCAGGGTGGGAGGAAGAACTCTTTGTTGGAGGCAAGTGTGAATGTTGGAATTGGCCATTTTGATTAGCACCAGGCTAATCAATACTAATCAAGGTAGCCAATTGCATCATTCACACTTGCCTCGAGCAGACAAGAGCTCTCTCTCTCCCACCCTGGACATTATTCCAGATATATAATCCCCACTTGCCCAGTTTCCAACAGACCTCACAACCAGATTGCTGTGAGTTTACCAGGCTGTCTGGCCATGTTCTAGAAGCATTCTCTCCTGACGTTTCGCCCACATCTATGACAGGCATTTTCACAGGTTGGGAGCTCTATTGGAAACTGGGCACGTGATGTATATATGTATGTATGTATGTATGTATATATATATATATATATATATATATATATATATATATATATAGAGTAAAGTAAAGGTAGTCCCCTGACATTAAGTCCAGTCATGTCTGACTCTGGGGTGTGGTGCTCATCTCCATTTCTAAGCCGAAGAGCCAGCGTTGTCCGTAGACACCTCCAAGGTCATGTGGCCGACATGACTGCATGGAGCGCCGTTACCTTCCCGCCGGAGCGGTACCTATTGATCTACTCACATTTGCATGTTTTCGAACTGCTAGGTTGGCAGAAGCTAGGGCTGACAGCGGAAGCTCACGCCGCTCCCCGGAATCGAACCTGCGACCTTTCGATCAACAAGCTCAGCAGCTCAGTGCTTTAACCCACTGCGCCACCGGGGGCTCCCTATATATATATATATATATATATATATATATATATATATATATCTGGGGAATGATGTCCAGGGTGGGAGAAAGACCTCTTGTCTGTTGGAGGCAAGTGTGAATGTTGCAATTGGCAATTGGCCACCTTAATAGCCTTGCAGTTTCAAAGCCTGGATGCCAGGGGAATCATAGAATCATTCAGTTGGAATCATTCAGCCATCCAGTCCCATGAGATCTGGGACCTCTGAGGATGTCTTCCATAGATACAGGTGAAACGTCAGGAGAGAATGCTTCTAGAACATGCCCAGACAGCCTGGAAAACTCACCGTAACCCAGCAAATTCGGCCATGAAGGCCTTTGACAATACACCTACCATGCTGCATTACCCCATTTGTATCCTCGGCTCCGTTATCTGGCCTTAAGAGACTTGAATCCTTTTGGAGTAGCCAGATATTCCTGTACTGCCCCTTTATCTCTTCTGAGCTGCATTTCCTCACCTGTATCATCAGCCTCATTACCTGGCCTTAAGAGACTTGAATCCCTTTGGAGTAGCCAGATATTCCTGGCCTGCCCACTTACGTCTTCTGTGCTGCTGTCAGGAGTCAATTTTCGACGGCATTCCCTCTGTGACATCCTGACTGAATCATCCTGGCTGAATCGATTCTCTCTCTGTGACATTTTGAAGCGAGCAGAGGGCACTGGAAGCCTTGTATTGGAACTTGTGAAGCAACAAGCTGAGAAGCTGAGAAGAGGGGGAGATGGGCAGGAAAGGTGTCTAAAAGGAAGTGGTGGTGGGGAAAAGCCAGTAGTGTCTTCTTTGCTGCAGAGATACAAGCAATATATCCATTTCAAAGCAAAACCGGCTTGTGAGTGGTTATTTAATATTGCTACATAGATCCTACGGTCTTACAGCTGCATTTCCCCATCTGCATCCTCTGCCCCATCCTCCCCGAGTTGAGCCCTGTTCACCTTTTGGGAGAAGGCGTTTGGGGCACAGAAGGCATCGAGCAGTAGTTCCTCTCGGGGCCCGGTTTGGGGAGGGGGCCGCAGGGCCTCTGCCCCAGCCCTTCTCTCAATGGCTCTCTCTCATTCCCGTTCCTTGGACAGTCCACGGCATCAAGTGGACCTGCAGCAACGGGAACAGCAGCTCGGGCTTCTCGGTGGAGCAGCTGGTGCAGCAGATCCTGGAGAGCCACCAGACCAAACCTCAGCCTCGGACGCACAACTGCCTTTGCACCGGAAACTTGGGTGAGGAGTCCCAAAGGCAACGGGGGGCCAAAGGCTTCTAGATTGAGGAAGGGGGGAAGAAGCAGGGACAGGCAGGAGGAGAGCTGTGGGTTGGAGAGCCACACTGCCAATCCCCTCCTTYCCAATCCYGACTATGCTCTTGCTCCAAAGGTAGGCATGAAGCATGTGCCCTTGCATGGCCCCCTTCCTCTATGTACGAGCCCAGAGGGATTTCTTAGACCCATGAAGCGCCTTCCTCTGAAAAAGAGCCCAAAGCCTTGCCTGGGGCTTCTGCTTGGCTTCGGATATTAAGCGGCACCTTCGCATGCCCAGGGGCACCTAGGTCTGCTCTCTCCCCCGAAGAACTAGGAAGATAACAAGCCCTGAGTATCCGTCTATTCGGACTTTGGGGGGGGGGGTGGAGGATGCAGGGGGCCACTACTCATTAACAGTCGGAAAGGTCCTACCAGACCACCCACCCGCCATGACCCAGACCTCCTTCCTTGAGCAAAGCAGCTGATACACGTAGGAGGTCAGGACAAAGGGACACACACAGAGACACACCAAAGAAGCAAATACGAGGGGTATTTTTTAAGTAAGGTCCATTTTGTTGTAGACACTAGTAGTTTGCGTGCATACCRCAACGAGCGCGTGCGTCGTCTACCGGCATGCCTCRGGAACAACTGTGCTCAGTTTCATTCAAAGACCGCTCCGATCGCCCTTCTTTGATTACAGACGATTTGGTGGCTTCAGTTGATGAGCGGTCCTCATCATGGACGTTGTCACAKCCATCTTTGAATTGTCGTACCCACTTACGCACTTTGCTTTCACTCATCACAGTCTCACCGTACACTTYACAAATCYGTTGATGGATTTCTGCAGCAGGCAGRTTCCTTGCTGACAAAAACCGTATCACGGAGCGAACCTCACATGCGGAGGGTGAGTTGAGAGTCTTAAACATTTTAAAGCACAGAACAGAACCGTACAGGTGAGCGACAGAGCGGAAACTGAGCACAGTTGTTCCCCAGGCATGGCAGTACACGACGCATGCGCTCGTTGCGGTATGCGCGTGAACTACCCTTGTCTACTAGGGCTGGGCAGTTTCGTTTCGTAATTTCATAATTCGTTAAAAATTCGTTATTTTTTTTGATAACGAAGCGATATTGAACCAATCAGGAGCAACTAAAAAACGAAACGAATTTTTCCAATTCGTTTCGTAATTGTTTCGTAATTGATTCGTTATTGATTCGTTATTATTTCCGCATGTCTGGTGCAAGTTTTAGGGTTTGCTCAGTGAAAAAAAATATAATTATCACACCAACAGTCAACAACAGAGGGAGAGGGAAGCTTCAGACTTTTTTTAGCGTATTGCGCGATCGCGGCCGCCATTAACAAATCGATTCGTAATCGATTCGTAATTGTTTCGTAATTGTTTTATGATTTCCAAAATTTCGTAAATATTGAACTTTTTTTAAGGAAAATTTCGGAATTCTTTTAAATAACAAAACGCAAAAAACCCCTAAAAACGAATCGAGTTTAGAAACACATTTTTCCGTGTTTGGACAGCCCTAGTGTCTACAACAAAACGGACCTTACTTAAAAAATACCCCTTGTACAGTAGAGTCTCACTTATCAGACATAAACGGGCCGGCAGAACGTCGGATAAACAAAAATGTTACCCGTCCGACGCGGTGCTGGACACCTAGAATACTAACAGGGAGTCTAAGGATTAAGGCAAGGCAACACCCCGGGGCTGGATGGACCCAGCAGAAAATGCCCGGATGCAGAACGTGGAAAGGAGGGAGGACGCTTCCGCTTCTGGTCTCGCCTCTTTCCCCCTTTCCTCCCTTCTCTCCCTCCTCGTCTTGCCTTTTTCAATTATTGGGGGTGGAGAGAGAGTTGGGGAGCACTCCTTTAAATGCTGGAGGAAAAGGGGAGCGTCAGATATGAGATGATAGAATAAGACGGAATGTCGGATAAGCGAGACTCTACTGTATCAGAGGAATCGGTACTGAACCCCCTCCTCCAAGCAACACGGTCTCTCTCCCACATTGGCTTCTAATGTGGGAGAGCTGCAGCTGTCCCAAAATGTCCCAAAAGTTGGGCAAGGTCTTCCTTCCTCAAGGGTTTCTTTTTCCCAACCCACTGACACACCCTAAGGCTCACAATTTCTCTCAGCCTCGGGCAAGACACGCAGACACACAAACCCTGGTATTTCTGTGGGAGGCCTGCTGGTTGTGTCCTCTTGGGTGGAGCCTGCTGCTGACCTGACCCTTCCTCTCCTTCTTTCCCTCTTCGCAGGTGCGGGGAGCAGCGTGCACCACAAGTGCAACAGTGCCAAACACCGGATCATCTCCCCGAAGGTGGAGCCGCGGTCGGGCGGCTACGGGGCGCACTCCGAGGTGCAGAACAACGACGTCTCCGAGGGGAAGAACGAGCACAGCCACGGCAGCAAGGCGTCCTCCTCCGGGGGGCGGGAGAAGCGCAACGGCAAGGTGGCCAAGCCGGTCCTGCTCCACCAGAACAGCACCGAGGTCTCCTCCACCAACCAGGTCGAGGTCCCAGACACCACCCAGAACTCCCCGGTCTCCATCAGCAGCGGCCTCAACAGCGACCCAGATGCAGCCGACAGCCCCGCCGTGGTCTCGGGCGTCTCCAGCATGGCCGCCGTGGCCTCCGTCATGGGCAGCCTCTCCCAGAGTGCCGCGGCCGCCGTCTTCATGTCGGACATCACCAGCGAGGCCGTCTACGCCATGTCCCCCTCCGCCGGCCCCAACCCGCACCTGCTCCCCTCGGATGCCACTGCAGCGGCGCAAGGGCTGGTCCTGGCGGTCAGCTCCGACGGCCACAAGTTTGCCTTCCCGACGACGACGGCCGGCGGCTCCGAGGGACTGTCCATCCTACCGGCCGGTGTCTCGGAGGAGCTGGTGCTGTCCACCACCCTGGACAGCGGGAGGAAGATCCCAGAGACTGCCATGAACTTTGACCCCGATTGCTTCCTCAACAATCCCAAGCAGGGCCAGACCTACGGCGGAGGGGGCCCCAAGGGGGACGGCGGCCTGGGGCCCAACCTGCGGCACTCGCCCACCTCTGAGCGCAGCTTTGGCTTCGGCCTGGTCAAGGAGATCAAGACCGAGGACACCTCCTTCGAGCAGCAGATCTCCAAAGAGGCTGCCGTCGCTGCCGCGTACACCTCTTCCTCCTCCTCCTCCTCTTCGTCCTCGTCCTCCTCCTCCTCCTCGTTGTCGTCCTCCTCCTCCTCGTCCGCCTCCTCCTCCTCGGCCTCCTCCAACTCTCTGACCCTGGCCCCCGGCCCCAGCCTGCTCCCCTCCGGCGGCGGCCTCAGCCCGAGCACCACCCTGGAGCAGATGGACTTCAGTGCCATCGACTCCAACAAGGACTACTCGTCCTCCTCCTCGGGGTTCGGCCCCTCCGTCCAGAGCCCCCACGTCCACCAGAGCCCCTCGCCCAGCTTCTTCCTGCAGGAGGCCCCCAGCAAGCCCCTCCCGATGGAGCCCGGCCCCCACGGCGGCGGCCTGGCCGAGGGGAACGGCTCCTTCGTGGGACCCATGGGCGTCCCCAGCATCAAGACGGAGGCCTCTCCGCCGGGCACCTCCCACTGCAACGGCGCCATGGAGGCCCGCATGGAGCCCACCTCCTCGCTCCAGCTGATGCAGTTCCAGGCCGGCTTCCAGGGCATGGCGGCGGACGGGGAGGTGCCCATGGAGACCTCGCCCCACGGGGAAGGCGCCGAGGGGCTGCTCAAGGCCGGGGAGCTGCAGGCTTGTGGCGAGCACTACCTGCCGCCCGAGGCCAACGGAGCCCTGCGTAACGGCAGCCTCCCGGTGCTCCAGGGCAACATGGTGCCCGGCCTGTACCCGGTGGCCCACCCGGCTCTGGGCGGCTCCTCCAACATGGAGCTCAGCCTGGACCACTTCGACATCTCCTTCAGCAACCAGTTCTCCGACCTGATCAACGACTTCATCTCAGTGGAGGGCGGGGGCGGCGCGCTCTACGGCCACCAGCTGGTCTCCGGGGAGGGGGCCGCCATGGCCCAGGCGGCCGAGGAGGGCAACCGGGGCAGCGCCGGCGCCAACTACGGACAGGCCCCTGAGATGTGCATCCCCTGCTGCAGCCCCCAGCAAGCCGGCCTCCACCTCGGCGTTGCGGAGAACGGGGCCGGCGCCATGGCCTACATGCACGTCACCGAGGTGGTGTCGGCAGCGGCGGCAGCGGCGGCGGCGGCCCAAGGCACCCTGGGAATGCTCCAGCAGAGTGGGCGCCTCTTCATGGTGACGGACTACTCGCCCGAATGGTCCTACCCAGAGGTGAGACCCCCAAACTCCCCACGGTCCTTGGCTTTGGAGAAGCTCCTCCAATGGATATGGAGGTCCCCAAGAGGTGGGAGGGCTTTGGAGACGAGTGGCTCTGGTGTTGGTGAGAGAAGGTCCTCCAGTATGCATGCGGCAAGGCTCAGGTTGCATTGTAGTAGGTGGTTTTCTCTTCTCTGCACTCGCATGTTGTGGACTCCACTTTGTAGCCCCATTCCTTAAGGTTAGCTCTGCAACTCGTGGTGCCAGAGCGTACTCCGTTCACCACCTTCCAGGTCATCCACTCTTCTGTGTGCTCAGGAGGGCGTTTCTCATCAGGTCTCAGCCGGGTTTTTGCCTGCCACTTTTGGACTCTCGCTTGCTAAGGTGTTTCTGCGAGTATCTCTGTAGATCTTAGGAAGCTGTTTCTTGATTGAAGGCTTTAGCATGATGTCTGATATCCGAACAGAGGATGGGCCGGAGAAGTCACTGCCTTGGTCCGTTCATTGCTGGCTGCTACTTCCCGGTGGATGTCAGGTGGTGTAGTACAGGCTAAACAGTGTGATTTCTCCAGCTGTGTTGGGCATAGACATCCAGTGATACTGTGGCATGTCTCATTAAGAGCCTCATCTACTGTTTTAGCATGGTGAGATGTGTTCAACACTGGGTGTGCGTATTCAGTAGAGTATAGAATCATAGAATCAAAGAGTTGGAAGAGACCTTATGGGCCATCCAGTCCAACCCCCTGCCAAGAAGTGCAAGGAAGCCAGAATGGATGTCCAAAGAACTTCTAACAGTGCTAAAACACAAAAGAGACATGCACAAGAAGTGGAAAAAGAGAGAAATCACCAAAGAAGAATTCAAACAAATAGCTAACTCCTGTAGGGAAAATGTCCCCAAGGCTAAAGCACAAAAAAGTAGCAAAGAAGTAGCAAAGAGCAGATGTCTTCATTGGGTCTGGTTGTGACCCCCAGGTTGTGCCAGTCAGCTTTCGTGTGATACTATTTCTAGCACCCACTTGTTGCTTGATATTCAAGCAGTGCTTCTTATAAGTCAAAGCACGGTCCAGAGTGACTCCCAGGTATTTTGGTGTGCTGCGATGCTCCAGTGGTATTCCTTCCCAGGTCATCCTCAGAGCTTGAGATGCTTGTCTGTTCTTGAGATGAAAAGCACACGTCTGCATTTTAGATGGATTAGGAATCAGCTGGGTTTCCCTGTGATAGGCAATAAGAGCATTCAGAGAACTTCTGTTCAACCATCTCAAAGCTCCCTGCTTGAGCGGTGATGGCACGATCCTCAGCATAGATGAAACTCTCTGTCCCTTCTGGCCGTGGCTGGTCATTTGTGTAGATGTTGAACATGGATGGAGCGAGCATGCTCCCCTGAGGCAGGCCATTCTTCTGTCTTCGTCATCTACTTCTCTAACCCTGGAACTCAACAAAAAAGCTCCTGTTCTGTAGCTCATTTCCTTGAGTGGTGATGGCACGATCATCAGCATAGATGAAGCTCTCTGTCCCTTCTGGCAGTGGCTGGTCATTTGTGTAAATGTTGAACATGGATGGGGCAAGCACGCTTCCCGGAGGCAGGCCGTTTTTCTGTCTTCGCCATCTACTTCTCTAACCCTGGAACTCAGCAAAAAAGCTCCTGTTTTGTAGCAGGTTTCCTATGAAGCGGGTGAGGTGGTCGTCCTTTGTGATATTGTATGTTTTTCTCAGGAGAAGGCGATGATTTACAGTATCATATCTATGAAGACAGCGCCTGTAATTTGCTGCCTTTCAAAACCATCTTCTTGGTGCCGAGTCAGAGGGGAGGAGGTCTCTGTGACCTGTGACCCTAGGTCAGAGAGGGCAAGAGAGTGGCAAAGAAGGATGACAGTTGACAAAGAAGGATGGGAGCGAGGGAGGGGGGTTCAAGCCCAGACGCAGCCAACCCAAGTTCAGCCTCTAAACCACAACAAGGATCAACCACCAGACACGAGTCCAAAGTTCTCCCAGCCCACCCCAAATATCTCAGGGCGAGATGGCTGGAGATAGCAAACTTACAGTGATAAGCTTGGTCTCAGCTCTGCGAGAAAAGGGAGGTGGGCAATGCGTGTGGTTCCCCGCAAGTGGGTCAGATATGGTGAGCCTCCAAGGGCAAGAGCACTCCTTATGAGCCCCCAGAAGTCTGGGCATGTTGGTGGAGTCCTACCGTCCTGACCCCCGCCCCCTTCTTCTCTGCTTCCTCCCCCTCCTCTTAGGGGGGTGTGAAGGTGCTGATCACTGGCCCGTGGCAGGAGGCCAGCAACAACTACAGCTGCCTCTTTGACCAGGTCTCGGTCCCGGCCTCCCTGATCCAACCGGGGGTCCTGCGCTGCTACTGCCCAGGTGAGTCATGAAGTTGAGGCTCTAGCTGTGGGGTGAACAGGCCCCTTGCACCCCAGGTGTCGGGAGGGTCCCACAAACATCTTGCTCGTTGCACCTTGGCAACCCTGGCTGGATGGGGGGCTATCCAGTTACTATGTCTTATGGGGTTACTATCTAGAGCAGTGGTTCTCAACTTTTCTAACACCGTGACCCCTAAATATGCCTCCTTATATTGTGGTGACCCCCTTTGCCAGCCGGCGGGAGCGCGAGGGACATGAGGGAGGCCTCGCGCAGCCATTTTGAGAGGCCGGGGCCAACCGAGGCGCTTTCGCGATCCCCCGAAAATGGCCCAGCGACCCCTCTGGGGGTCGGGACCCCCAGGTTGAGAACCGCTGATCTAGAGATATATCTCTAGCTGGTACTGCCACCCATTTCCCCCATAAGACCCCTGGGATGAGACTGGGATGGGGTCTGGTGGCTCTTTGGGGGCTGGTAGAGGCCATTGGTAAATGGTCCCCATGCCTCTCCCCACATTGTCCTCCAGCACACGACACGGGGCTGGTGACCCTGCAAGTGGCCTTCAACAACCAAGTCATCTCCAACTCGGTGGTCTTTGAGTACAAGGCCCGAGCGCTGCCCACCTTGCCCTCCTCACAGCACGACTGGCTCTCCCTGGACGGTGAGCACATCGGGGCGCATGAGGGCGATGGGGGGAACTGGGCTCTCAAAGGAGGAGGAAAGGGAAAGGGAAAGGGAATGGAAGACCGGGTTGGCCAGTCCTTAAGAACATGGAGGGCATTCGGGTTCCTTTGATGGGACTGTCCTCCTCACTCCTCCTCTCTTCCCCCATTTTTGTTGTAGAGAACCAGTTCCGAATGTCCATCCTGGAGCGCCTGGAGCAGATGGAAAGGCGGATGGCCGAGATGACCACCGGCTCCCAGCAGCAGCAGCACAAGGCACCGGCCAGCAGTGGAGGAGGAGGAGGAGGAAGTGGTGGTGGCAGTGGCGGCGGCAATGGGGGCAGCCAAGCACAGGTACACGCTCTATTGGAATGCCCCTTTTCACCTGGCCCATCTCTGTATCTTCCTGCTGATTTTGTTTGAGAGGCGGGCCGAGGCTACATTCTTTTGGCCAGCAGTGCAGGCCAGCATTTAGTGGCCCATTGTTCTGCTTCCTGTTTACCCTATATAAGCCAGGGCCTGAACTCAAGGGGCAGTTGTGCTCCCACAGAAGTTGAGGAAGCAAGACTCCATTATGTTCCCTTCTGCTACAGGGTAAGCCTTGTCTTAGAGAACACTAGAAACCTGAGTAAGTGTTTAAAATTAGCTGCTTTGAGTGTTGCTTTGTTTGAGAGCAACACCCACTAACCTACACTTTCCCCCCCAGCATACAGACAACAACATAAAACACACACAAAGAGGAGGTAATTAGCAACCTCCAGATGGAACAAACACAAAATCTTCCTGTCTCATGCACAAGCTGTGGCATGTTCAGCTTTTTCACCAACAAATACTCAATTACATCTGCCCCAAGTGTAAACGGATCACTCACATGGAACACAGGATCCAACAACTCGAGGACCGTATTAAGACCCCTAAGGACATTCAGGAACTTGAGCTGTTCTTAGACAAAAGAATGTAGCCTCGCCTCTCCTTTCCTCCCTCACAGAGTGCCTCGGGGACGGGCTCTGCCTCGGGCCACTGCTTCGAGGGCCGGGTGGTCGTCGTCTGCGAAAAGATGATGAGCCGGGCCTGCTGGGCCAGGTCCAAGCACCTCATCCACTCCAAGACCTTCCGGGGCATGACCTTGCTCCACCTGGCTGCCGCACAGGGCTACGCCACCCTCATCCAGACCCTCCTCAAGTGGCGGTGAGGACCTGCGAGAGGGGCTTTGGGTGGGAGAAGAAGGGCAGAAGAATGGGCTCTTCCCTTGAGGGTCTGGCCTGGAGGAAGTGGTGTTGGACAGTTGGAGGGAGTGTCCAGCAACCAATGGGATGATCCCCGCAACCAGCCAGGGCCTTTTGTCTCCAAAGCTTTCACACCTCCAAATCAATGGGGAGGGGGACCTCCAAAGCTTTCACGCCTCCAAAGCTTTGGGGACCTCCAAATCAATGGGGAGGAGAACCTCCAAAGCTTTCACACCTCCAAAGCTTTGGGGACCTCCAAATCAATGGGGAAGGGATTCCACCCAGGCTTCCCCAAGGTGCTGAACCATTGGGTGGGTCCAGTTTCAACACCTGGGAAAGCTCCTTCAAAAATCCGCTCTTGCCTCCTCCTAGCACCAAACACGCCGACAGCATTGACCTGGAGCTGGAGGTGGACCCCCTGAACGTGGACCACTTCTCCTGCACGCCGCTGGTACGTAGTGGACCTCCTGCCTTTCCTCCGGAGGGCCGAGAGCTTGCACGGGTTACTCCTCAGACTCTGAGAACAAGAGTTTCCCTGCATGACCCCTGACCCATTCCTTTCCTGACCCCTCTTTGTTGTGTGCCCCCACCAGATGTGGGCCTGCGCATTGGGCCACATGGAGGCGGCGGTGGTGCTCTACAAGTGGGACCGTCGGGCCCTCTCCATCCCGGACTCGCTCGGGCGATTACCCCTGGCCATTGCCCGCTCCCGGGGCCACGTCAAGCTGGCTGAAGGCCTGGAGCAGATGCAGCGCCAGGAGGAGGAGGAGCAGGCCCCACTGCACCAGGCCCCACGTGTCCTCTGTCCGCCCCACCAGGATGAGCCCGCTCCCGCCGCCACCACTACCGGGGAGACCTGGATGGCCCAGTGGCATAGCGAAATGGTGGCCTCTCAGGAGCCCCAGAAGGGGGTCACGGTCATCTCCGCCCCCAACACAGGTACAGAGAGGGGCTCTTCCCCTTCCCACCTAGCTTGCCCCTCAAGGATCAGCCTGGAATCAGAGCATGGTTGTGTGGTCCTTAGCAAACTACCTCCAGCATCCTTCCCACTGCTCTCTGGCCACTCTTGATACCTGACCTCCTAACCAGGGGCAGCTCAACCATTACGCAAAGTAAGCCATTGCGGTATAGTTGATTTTGCCAGGGGCGCTCTTGGGGGAAAATAGACCTTGACATATGTGAGTTGTAGTTACGGGATTCACAGTTCACCTACAATCAAAGAGCCTTCTGAACTCCACCAATGATGGAATTGAACCAAACTTGGGACCAGGGCCGGCTCAACCCATACGCAAAGTAAGCCTTTGCGGTAGAGTTGATTTTGCCAGGGGCGCTCTTGGGGGAAAATAGACCTTGACGTATGCGAGTTGTAGTTACTGGGATTCACAGTTCACTTACAATTAAAGAGCATTCTGAACTCCACCAATGATGGAATTGAACCAAACAAGCAAGGGAGGCAGGGGCGGCTCAACCCTTACGCAAAGTAAGCCTTTGCGGTATGGTTGATTTTGCCATGGGCGCTCTTGAGGCACACTTGGGGGAAAATAGACCTTGACATATGCGAGTTGTATTTATTGGGATATATAGTTTGCCTACAATCAAAGAGCACTCTGAACTCCACCAATGATGGAATTGAACCAAATATGGCACACAGAACTCCCACGACGAACAGAAAACATATATCGATGATTGGTTGGGGGTGTGCCAAAATACTGTTTGCTTACCGTTGAAAATTACCTAGGGCCCCCTCTGCTCCTAACCCATGGGGCTCTCTTTCTCTCCTCCTGTAGAGCTGCGGCGGCCCCGATCCGAGCCCTCCAGTTACTACAGCAGCGAGAGCCAGAAGGACTACCCGGCACCGAAGAAACACAAGCTGAACCCCGAGTACTTCTCCTCGGCCCGGCAGGAGAGGCTCCTCTCCACGGCCCTCAGCCTGGAGCAGCCCTGCGCCCGCAAGCCCACCAGCAGCTCCACCAGGCCCGCCTCCCTCCCCGAGACCCCCGGGCCCCGGATCACAGGCCGGGAGTACCATCCACAGGAACCGGGCGCGGAGGCTGGGGGCCACTACCGAAGTGGTGGTTCCGGGGTCAAATGGGGCCCGAAGGAGGGCTACGGGCCCATGCCCAGGGACACGGCAACGGCCCAGCGGCTGCATCCACAACAGGAGCAGATGTCAGAGCAGGAGACCATGGAGGCAGAGCTGCTGGCCTTCCAGGATGCCGCAGACAGCGAGGATGTCTTGCACCACGTGGACGACCTCCAGGTACAGGACGCCCAGGGTGGACGTGGCCACAGCCATAGGGGTAGACTGTTTCCTGAGGCTGCGTTAGGCATTTAGGGTCTCGCCACTACAGCATTGAGATAATGTGTCACACGGGATATTCCAGGCTTGCACAACCTCCAGGCCCTCCAGGCATTTTGGACTTCAGATCCCAAAATTCCTGACCATTGGCCAAGCTGACAGTAGGGGCTTCTGGGAGTTCAAGGGCTGCAGGTTTAAGAGGTCTGGGGTATACAATCCCAGGATTATTGCAGCTACAGAAATAATCACAGAAGCACAGAGTTGGAAGGGACCTCTCAAGGTCATCCAATCCACCTCTGATGCCAGGCTGGAAAAGCACAATCCAAGCGAGTGGGCTTATGAACAAAAGACCCTCCCCATAAATATTACTTCCTTCTTTGCTTCCATGCTGGACTTCTTTCTCGCGCAGATAAAAAGCTTCGCTCTCACGGAGGCTCCTCTCACACCAAAAATACCATAGTAGCTTCACATAGCAGCTTTACACACAAAGCCTTCAACCTGGAGCTTCTCTCACCAAGCCTTCTCATACTCTGAGGCCTACCTCACACAAAAACTTCTCTCACAGACTAAGGCCTACCTTACACTCTAAGGCCTATTCTGCCACTGAGGCGATCTCTCACACAGAGAGACTTCTCTCACACTGAGAGCTCCCTCAGACTGAGGCGTTGCTATGCAACAGGCACACCTGCTTACACTCTAAGGCCTGTTCTGCCACTGAGGCGATCTCTCACACAGAGAGACTTCTCTCACACTGAGAGCTCCCTCAAACTGAGGCATTGCTATGCAACAGGCACGCCTGCTTTCACTCTAAGGCCTATTCTGCCACTGAGGCGATCTCTCACACAGAGAGACTTCTCTCACACTGAGAACTCCCTCAGACTGAGGCGTTGCTATGCAACAGGCACGCCTGCTTACACTCTAAGGCCTATTCTGCCACTGAGGAGATCTCTCACACAGAGAGCACCCTCAGACTGAGGCGTTGCTATGCAACAGGCACGCCTGCTTACACTCTAAGGCCTATTCTGCCACTGAGGAGATCTCTCACACAGAGAGACTTCTCTCACACTGAGAGCTCCCTCAGACTGAGGCGTTGCTATGCAACAGGCACACCTGCTTACACTCTAAGGCCTATTCTGCCACTGAGGAGATCTCACACACAGAGAGACTTCTCTCACACTGAGAGCTCCCTCAGACTGAGGCGTTGCTATGCAAAAGGCACACCTGCTTACACTCTAAGGCCTATTCTGCCACTGAGGAGATCTCTCACACAGAGAGACTTCTCTCACACAGAGAGCTCCCTCAGACTGAGGCGTTGCTATGCAACAGGCACACCTGCTTACACTCTAAGGCCTATTCTGCCACTGAGGAGATCTCTCACACAGAGAGACTTCTCTCACACTGAGAGCTCCCTCAGACTGAGGCGTTGCTATGCAACAGGCACGCCTGCTTACACTCTAAGGCCTATTCTGCCACTGAGGAGATCTCTCACACAGAGAGACTTCTCTCACACTGAGAGCTCCCTCAGACTGAGGCGTTGCTATGCAACAGGCACACCTGCTTACACTCTAAGGCCTATTCTGCCACTGAGGAGATCTCACACACAGAGAGACTTCTCTCACACTGAGAGCTCCCTCAGACTGAGGCGTTGCTATGCAACAGGCACACCTGCTTACACTCTAAGGCCTATTCTGCCACTGAGGAGATCTCTCACACAGAGAGACTTCTCTCAAACTGAGAGCTCCCTCAGACTGAGGCGTTGCTATGCAACAGGCACGCCTGCTTACACTCTAAGGCCTATTCTGCCACTGAGGAGATCTCTCACACAGAGAGCTCCCTCAGACTGAGGCGTTGCTATGCAACAGGCACGCCTGCTTACACTCTAAGGCCTATTCTGCCACTGAGGAGATCTCTCACACAGAGAGCTCCCTCAGACTGAGGCGTTGCTATGCAGCAGGCACGCCTGCTTACACTCTAAGGCCTATTCTGCCACTGAGGAGATCTCTCACACAGAGAGACTTCTCTCACACAGAGAGCTCCCTCAGACTGAGGCGTTGCTATGCAACAGGCACACCTGCTTATATTGAACCGCAGCTTCTCTGAGTCACTGCATCCATTTAACCCTTTCACATTTTTGTAACCAAAAATACCTAGTTAATTTTTAATATTTCCGACAGAAGAGACCCCCAACGGGATACCCAGTCCAACGCCTTTCTGCCAGGCAGGAAAAACACACAGAAGAGATAGCTCTTCAGTTGCACTTGAAAATTCTGACAAAAAGCAGGGGAGACTTGGGAGATTGGGAGGGGGGGTAGTCTACCAAGACCCCAAGATCAGCCAACACTTGCATCGCTCCTGGAGGCCAAGGAGCCCCCCTTTGACCCAGTGTAAGACTGTAGGTTTTGTATAGCAATATTGTGATCACTCACAAGCCGGCTTTGCTTGGAAATGAATATATTGCTTGTATCTCTGCAGCAAAGAAAGACACTCCTGACTTTTCCCCACCACCACTTCCTTTTATACACTTTTCATGCCCATCTCCCCCTCTTCTCGGTGTCCTTATTAGACCTTGTTGCTTCACAAGTTCCAATACAAGGTTTCCAGCGCCCTTTGCTGGCTTCAAAATGTCACAGAGAGAAAATTGAGGTGGCCAGGATGATTCAGTCAGGATGTCACGGAGGGAATTTGTGATGTCTTCATGCCGTCAGAAATTGACTCCTGACACCCAGCTCCAAGGATTGGTCCTTCTGTCTGCGATTGATACCTCCTTCCCCTCTGCAGGTGACCATGATGACACTGGCGGAGCACATCATCGAGGCCACACCAGAACGGATCAAGCGCGGGGAGAGCCTTGCGCCGGCGGAGGGACCCCTGGCCGAGCGGAGTGGGGGGACAACTCTCGGCACCTCCATGAGCTGGCTGGCCGGTTACCTGGCAGACATTGACCACTTGCCCAGCGCTGCCCAGATAAGGTCTGTCGGGAGGTGGCCTTCCCTTCGGAAGGGGGCTGGGATTGGCCAAGGGGCAGCCCCTGACCCCTGCTCCTCCTCCTCTTTCTGCCGCCACAGAAGCCTCTATGGGGCAGCCCCCAGCCCCCCCTCCCACACCAGCCAGAGCCCCACCAGCTCCCCGGTCAGCGCCCTAGCCTTTGAGAAGCCCAGCCTTCCGTCGGCCACTGACTGGTCCGAGTTCCTCAGCGCCTCCACCAGCGAGAAGGTCGAGAGCGACTTTGCCCAGCTGACCCTCTCCGACCATGAACAACGGGAGCTGTACGAGGCCGCCAAGCTGGTCCAGACCGTCTTCAGGAAGTACAAGGTGAGGAGGAGGAGGAGGAGGAGGAGGAGCTGTCTCGGGCTCCAAAGGTGATGGCTGGAATCTCCCCGAGATGTTGTTCTCCTCAGCGACAAAATGGAGAACCTTTCTTTGGGGAGCAATTTGTAGGGCGAGTGGGCTTATTAACGAAAGGCCCCCTTCAATGTACGGTTTACAAGAACAAGGTTTCCTTAACACAACGGAAGTTCTTTATATTTCCTTCTTTGTTTTCACACTGGACTTCTTTCTCATGCTTTGCTCTCACAGAGCCTCTTCTCACACCAAAGTTACACAAGAGCTTTACACACGAAGCCTTCTCACACAATGGCCTTCAACCTTGGGTTCCTCTCATCATAGCTTCTCAGATCAGGCCTTCTCAAACTGAGGCCTTTCTCCCACTGAGGCCTTCTCACACTGAGGGCTCTCTTAGACTGAGGCCTTTCTCCCACTGAGGCAAACTGACACTGAGGCCTTCTCATACTGAAGCCTACTAACACACTGAGGCCCTTCTCCCACAGAGAACTCTCACAATGTAAATAAGTGTGCCTGTGGTTTAGTAGCCCACGGTTTGTGAGAGGTCTCTGTGGGAGTGTGTTAGTAGGCTTCAGTATGAGAAGGCCTCAGTGGGAGAAAGACCTCAGTCTAAGAGAGCCCTCAGTGTGAGAAGGCCTCAGTGGGAGAAAGGCCTCGGTTTGAAATCTGATTTGAGAAGCTTTGATGAGAGGAGCCCAAGGTTGAAGGCCATTGTGTGTGAACCTTACACTGAAGCCATTGTGTGTGAAGGCTTCGTGTGTAAAGCTCCTGTGTAACTTTGGTGTTAGTAGGCTTCAGTATGAGAAGGCCTCAGTGTCAGTTCGCCTCAGTGGGAGAAAGGCCTCAGTCTAAGAGAGCCCTCAGTGTGAGAAGGCCTCAGTGGGAGAAAGGCCTCAGTTTGAAATCTGATCTGAGAAGCTATGATGAGAGGAGCCCAAGGTTGAAGGCCATTGTGTGTGAAGGCTTTGTGTGTAAAGCTCCTGTGTAACTTTGGTGTTAGTAGGCTTCAGTATGAGAAGGCCTCAGTGTCAGTTCGCCTTAGTGGGAGAAAGGCCTCAGTTTGAGAAGGCCTGATCTGAGAAGCTATGATGAGAGGAGCCCAAGGTTGAAGGCCATTGTGTGTGAAGGCTTCGTGTGTAAAGCCCCTGTGTAACTTTGGTGTTAGTAGGCTTCAGTATAAGAAGGCCTCAGTATTAGTTCGCCTCAGTGGGAGAAAGGCCTCAGTTTGAGAAGGCCTGATCTGAGAAACTTTGATGAGAGGAGCCCAAGGTTGAAGGCCATTGTGTGTGAAGGCTTCGTGTGTAAAGCTCCTGTGTAACTTTGGTGTTAGTAGGCTTCAGTATGAGAAGGCCTCAGTGTCAGTTCGCCTCAGTGGGAGAAAGGCCTCAGTCTAAGAGAGCCCTCAGTGTGAGAAGGCCTCAGTGGGAGAAAGGCCTCAGTTTGAAATCTGATCTGAGAAGCTTTGATGAGAGGAGCCCAAGGTTGAAGGCCATTGTGTGTGAAGGCTTCGTGTGTAAAGCTCCTGTGTAACTTTGGTGTTAGTAGGCTCCAGTATAAGAAGGCCTCAGTGTCAGTTCGCCTCAGTGGGAGAAAGGACTCAGTTTGAAAGACTCAGTAAGGCTCATGAGAAGAGCCCAAGGTTCCCATGTACAATATCAGAAGCACTCAGCACGCCCAAGGTCTCCCAGAAGGCCATTGGATGCAGCGTGAAGCTGCCTGGTCGTGGGAGGTAAAGCTCAGGGTCGTAATCCTTGTTGGTGTTCGAGGCTTCAGTATAAGTACACGGGCCTAGCAGCATGGTACCAAGGCGCACAGAGCCGTGTCCAAACGGCCCTGCAAGGTGCTGAAGCTCAGAGAGAGCTATGGCCACTGCTACGTACTTAAGAGAGCCCTACCATACCCGTTTGATGCATATTTTGAAGTTTCTGAATCTGTATTGAGAAGCCCTATCCTAGAGTAGCTTGAGCAGGAGCAGACACACTCGCCATAGACCATTACCATGGTATGCATTAACGTCTCGCTGTAGGCGCAAGCCAGACGAACCACCACGCTCTCAAGTGCTCTCACAGCCCGTGATAGGCTGCGCATGAATTCCAGAGCTAGAGGTCGGTGAGATCGACAATCGAGCTAGGATGGGATGGAGGACCTAATCCTTGCTCTGGAACGCGAGTATTCTGGGAGCTCCAGCTCTGGTAGACCCACCCCTGACGCACACCACTGCTAATGGCCCAGCCGCTGTACAGAGTGCTCAACGCGTGCCTTCACGCTGGCCCATGACCCTCACATGCCCCAAAGTCAGAGATCGCGTATCTAGGAAGCAGAGATGCAGCCTCTCAGCCACACCGTCTAGACAGCCACCACAGTCACTGCCTTTGGAGCAAGTCTCCATCGCTCGCTTCCAACTGCACTGTACTATGCCTGTCAGTCATGCAGCAGGAATCTCTGACCATCTTGGTTGCTGACTTCAGGATTCCTGCAACGGTCGCTAGCCTCACTCCTACAAGCCTCGCTGCGGATCGCTTCTTATGGTACCAGGTGGTCCGACACACCCTAGCAGATTCAACACGCAGCAACCCATCGGAGGCGTTGAGGGCGAACGGCACCCCGTCTCTCCGGTTGGCCAAGAGCGAAGACGGAAGTCCTGTAGTCTGTCCTTTTGCACCACGTGCCCCCTCCTGCCCCATGGGCCTCCTTTTCACTGGATACCGGTCCTTACGACTCCCTGTGTGACTTCAACTTCTTCTCCCCCTCGCCAAGCAGTTGCATGTCCTTCACTTGGAAGTCTGACTTTCAAAGGAGCGAGGTCTTCAGCTTCTGAAAGAGGCTTCTTCCAAAGATCTTGGATTTGCAGAGATCCATGGCCAACGAAGCCTGGCCTAGCAGTGGGGTGGCACTGGGGCAGATGGCGGACTCCCATCTTCTCCCAAGAAGGTGCCCCCCACCCACCAACCGTTGCACCAGACTCCTCTGAAAGCCAGCCTTGGGGGACCCTTGGGGCAGGGCTGCAGCTCAGAACGTTAATCTTGTATTTTCTGTTTCTCCTTGCCAAGCTTACTTGGATAGCCTTGAAGGTAATGACGTCCACCTCTTGAGCTTCTCACCTTCGGGGCCGTTTGGACGCAGCGCCTTGGCTGCTCCAGCGCACCCACAGGAACACGTGCATGCCGGCAGCGCTGCTTCTTGGAGACTTGGGGGGCTGAGGGATGGGGGAAAGGGGGCCCCAAGGCCCCTGGGGCCAAAGACCCTCCTTCCTGAACCGCAGAGGGGGGCAGCATGGGGACCTTGGTGGAGGAGGGTCAACCATCACCAATGGGAAACCAGTTGCAAAAAGGATGGGTCTTAGAGCTTGATTGTAAAGATGCCTCCTTCCCTCTAAGACTGTGTTTCTCAACCTGGGAGTTGGGACCCCTGGGAGGGTCACGAGGGGGTTTCAGAGGGGTCATCAAAGACTCTCTTTTATGACCCCTCTGAAACCCTTTTTGGGTCTTTCTGGGACTCCAAGCGGGGAGGGGAGAGCAGGTGTGCTCAGCGCATGGCAACACGGCATGCATGTGTGCAAGGAAGAGCATGCGAGGCTGGAGGAAGGCTCGCATCCGCGAATCCCTTCAAGGCAGGGAAGTTCTGTGTGGGAGGTTTGGCCCAATTCTATCGTTGGTGGGGTTCAGAATGCTCTTTGATTGGAGGTGAACTATAAATCCCAGCAACTACAATGTCACATTGCCAGGGCTCTGCCTTGTTTAGGTAGAGATGAACCAAACTCCCTGTCAAGACCCAGAAGCCTCAAGTCGAGCCAAACACCAGATAAAGAGTTCAAACACAGCTTTATTGTACAAAAATAGTCTTTTAAAGCACTTAACTTCAGTGCATAGAGTCAAAGTAGCAATTTGACATCAAAAATGCAGTAATATCAGTAACAAAAAATGTAACCCGGATTATAACACTGTTTAATCTGGGTTAAACTCAAAGTTCAGCAATCTGCTTGAAAATTAGCACAGCACGAAAACACAGTCACAGAAGATGAAAAACGAAGTCCCAAAAACGATGAGATGTTCAAGCACAAAGTTAGAAGAGTTTAAAGTTCCAAAAGTCAAAAGCGAAAGTCAAACCGGTTCGTAGTCAAGCCGTAGTAAAAGGTAAACACAGGAATGCAGGAGTCTCAGGAAAGAAGGAATGCAGGAATGCAGGAAGCTGTAGCCCAAGGAGAGTTGGCAGCAACAAAGATTTATGTCCCACAAAGACACTTTGCCTTCTGCAAAGTATCACTCAAACAGAACCCACTTTTATCCTAGATTTCCTCATTAGAGGATGATGAGCTCCCCACCCGTTCCTCATCGCTCTCAGCTGCATCCAACCCTGCAGCTGAGCCCGAGCGCGCATCCCTCCACCTCTGCCAGCGTCTGCCAAGACTTAGGTCTTGCCAAGTGCTCCCCGGTTGCCAATCCCCTGTGAACCCCTTTAAATTCATCACTGGAGGAGGGTTGGTTACAAATGTCCCTAATCTGTTGAACACGGGTCCAATCCAGCTCCTCCTCCTCTCCCAGACCCATCACTCCCTTCAAACCCCATGAAATCCTCGTCCTCTGCTGGGGCAGTAAGTATTTCCCGGATGCGCTTCCTCTGAAGCTCCTCATCGGACTCCGGATCGCGAGTAGCCCTCTTTACTCCCCTGCTCTCCTGCCCATCTCCCATTTCGCAATCAGAGAAGCCCTCAAACGTCTCGGAATCACTTGGGGCCAATATTATTTCCCTGTTGTTCCCCCTCTGACTCTTGCGCAAACCTTTTCTCCCTCCTACTGGTAGTAGGAACGTTACCATCATGCTGAACGACAACACTCCCAGTTGTATCAAACAGTTTAATTAAAACAGCACTTACTTGCTGGCTGTTTTAATAGACCAAAATATAAAACAAAGATAGCACTCAGCCACAGAATAAACAAAAACTGATAGCAAAAGCTACACCGTAGTCAAAGGGTCCAGACCAGTGAACAAACACCGAGAGTTCAATAGATAAAGTCCAGGGATCAAGAGTCTATACCATAGTCAAAAGCCAGTCCAAAGGTTCAAGGTTCTAGGGTTCCAAGATTACAGGAGACAGGCCAGGATACCGAAAAATCCAACAGACCTGGGGGAAAACCAGCAGCATCCACCACCAAAATCCAACAGACCTGGGGGAAAACCAGCAGCATCCACCACCAAAATCCAACAGACCTGGGGGAAAACCAGCAGCATCCACCACCAAAATCCAACAGACCTGGGGGAAAACCAGCAGCATCCACCACCAAAATCCAACAGACCTGGGGGAAAACCAGCAGCATCCACCACCAAAATCCAACAGACCTGGGGGAAAACCAGCAGCATCCACCACCAAAATCCAACAGACCTGGGGGAAAACCAGCAGCATCCACCACCAAAATCCAACAGACCTGGGGGAAAACCAGCAGCATCCACCACCAAAATGCAACAGATACTTTTCTCCCAAAGATCAGTCTCAAGGTTAGCTCCTTAAATCCAGTAACACCCAGCTGCAACCCATCTCCTGCACACCTCCACCCCTAATTGCTTTCACCCATGAACGCCCACTTACAGATTACCAAACTATCTAGAACTAATACATTAACTCTTCCATCACCAACCATCAACTGCAGAACATATGACATACAACTCCCAAATGTCAAGGTCTGTCTTCTCCAAACTCCACCAGTTTTCACATTTGGGCATATTGAGTATTCATGCCAAGTTTGGTCCAGATTCATCATTGTTTGAGTCCACAGTGCTCTCTGGAGTTAGGTGAACTACAACTCCAAAACTCAAGGTCAATGCCCATCGAACCCTTCCAGTATTTTCTGTGGTCATGGAAGTTCTGTGTGCCAAGTTTGGTTCAATTCCATCATTGGTGGAGTTCGGAATGCTCTTTGATTGTAGCTGCAACTCCCAAATGACAAAAGATCCCCCCAACCCAGGGGCGGCTCAACCATTACGCAAAGTAAGCATTTGCGGTAGAGTTGATTTTGCCCAGGGGTGCTCTTGAGGCACTCTTGGGGGAAAATAGACCTTGACATAGGCAAGTTGTAGTTACTGGGATGTATAGTTCACCTACAATCAAAGAGCATTCTGAACTCCACCAATGATGGAACTGAACCAAATATGGCACACAGAATTCCCACGACGAACAGAAAATATATATCAGTGATTGGTTGGGGGGCGGGCGCCAAAATACTGTTTGCTTACTGTTGAAAATTACCTAGGGCCGCCTCTGCCTCAACCCCACCAGTATTCAGATTTGGGTGTATTGGGTATGTGTGCCAAATTTGGTTCGGTGAATGAAAATACGTCCTGCATATCAGATACTTACATTACAATTCATAACAGTAGCAAAATTACAGTTATGAAGTAGCAACGAAAATAATGTTATGGTTGGGGGTCACCCCCACATGAGGAACTATAGTAAGGTTGAGAAACACTGCTCTAAGATATGGGACTGAGGTAGGGGGGTAGTCTGGGAATCAGACGCAACCAGTTTCCCCAAATCGCTGCTCTGTGTGCAAAAGGCACTGACCTACGGACTTGAAAACCAAAACACACACAGGGAGAGCCTTGCTCCTTGGTGGGGCCTTGCAAGGACTTCTTGGTCTTGAATGGTACGGAAGAGGAAGAGGATGGAGAGGGGGAGTAGAGCATCTCCTCAAGAGTTGGGATTTGGGAAGGCTATGGCCTGGAAGGAGGAGGCTATTTCATTCCCTCCTCTGGAAGACCTGTCTCTCTAGGCCAGGCCTGGGAAAGAACTTGACTGCTCTGGTGACGGTCCTTGGGCTGAGTCCGGCATCTCAAGACCACCTGCCACGTTCCCCACAAAGCCTCCAAAACAGGCTTCCTATTGCCTTGGTGGCCTCTTCTTCCATTTCAAGGCCTACTGTAGCAAAATTGCTATTCTATGTTAACTTTTTGGTGTATAGCTCTATGTCTACATATGGCAGATAGGGAAGAATAGGCACAGACAGGGTAGCAACAGCAGAGATAGGATTCATTTGCATATGGAAGCCGATTGGTCATATGCAGATTAGCGTAGGCCCGGGATTTGAATAGGTTGCTAGGCCAAAATGACAGTTGGAAAGAGCAGAGGGGCGGAGCCAAGGTTTTAAAAATAGGCAGTTAGAGAGTCAAAAGAGTTAGTTAGGAATTGCTGTTTGTGAGATGATTTAGGGATTTCCGGTTTGTTAGGAACTTCTGTGAGAGAAAAGAGTTAGGAAATCCCATTTGAAATAAGCAGTTATGAAGATGTGTTAAAGACTTCTGATATATAGAAGCAGTTAGTTAAATGGAGCTCAAGTTTTAGGAACATAAAGAAAGCCAGTGGTGCTTTAGTCAGGATATAATTTCAGTCAAGAGTGCGTAAAGCAAGTAAGTCTATTTCAGAAAAGTAAACCAAGTATATTATACTGACTGAAAGCCTCAAGATTGCAACAAAACATAAATGTAACCACAAGCGTTGGAGCCAGAAGTTATACATAAACTGTGTTACTTTGTTATACAGAAGTGTGCCTCAGTGCCTGAACAAAGGTTAAACAGAACACAGGAAGTCCCAGCTAATATAAAAGAAGAAACTGAATCAGTATAAGAGCAAAGAGGTTTTTCCTAAATAAAGAACTAGTCTCTCTCTCCCTCGCTACACCTACCCTCTGAGGGGATGCTTCACTCTCCCCTTTTCTATCCAAGACCTCCTACAGAATCTCTCTTATTGCAGCCGCTCACCGTTTTGTAGTCATACACAGTCCAACAAGGGCAAAGCAGAGTACTTTCCAAGGGTCAGAGCCAAACAATCTCACCAATTCAAAAATGTAGTTCAGTTACCAGACCCAAAGTTCAACCCATAAGTTCACCCACAGCAATTCGGGCTTAGAGCAATTCCACGACGTTGCTTCCAGCAACTAGCCCTGACATTTCCCATCTCCTGTTCCCTTGTGTTGCTCCCTACCCAACACCCCCTCCACTCCTTTGCAGTATGCACTTTATAAGAAGATGATCCAAGCCGCCATCCTCATCCAGAGCAAGTTCCGGAGCTATGCGGAGCAGAAGCGGTTCCAGCAGAGTCGCCGGGCGGCCGTCCGTATCCAGCAGTTCTACCGCAGCTACAAGGAGTGCGGGAGGCGGAGGCAGAGCCGCCGGGCGGCTGCCCTGGTCCAGCAGAAGCTCAGGTGCCCAAGAGGAGTTGGACTGGGAGGGGTGGGGGTCCAAGGGGGGCTGGTCCTCAGTGGCCGTGAAGCCACCCCCAAGAGAACCCTCCCCTCTGACCACCGGTCTCTCTTGCAGAAGCAGCCTGCTCACCAAGAAGCAGGACCAAGCTGCGCGCAAGATCATGCGCTTCTTACGGCGCTGCCGCCACAGGTGAGCCCCGTGAGTTGGAGTGTTGATGCCTTTATCTGAATCTCAAGCTTTCTCGGGTGGGGTGCAGTGCAGGGAAAGGCCCTGCCAGTGGTCTAGGCGCGAAGCAAGCCAATGGATCTTGTGGCTTCTTGGAGGCTCACGGGAGAAAGATATTGGGCGACTTGGGTCTCGTTCCCCAGGATAATGGCCCGTGCCGTGGGTCCTTTTTCAGGAGGGAAAGAGCAGCGCCGAGCAGCTCCCAGCAGTAGTGGATTGGTTTGGGTGGTCCTGGCAAAGGCTTTGGTGGGCCTTGAGTGGCAGAAAGGTTTCTTTCACAAACGTGCAACTCCTAGCGGTGGTCAATAAGCCATGGGTTGTGGTTCCATGGACACAGCATTGGACGCAGCCGGGGAGGGACAGGCTTTTGCCGCCACCACCAGAGAGGCAAAAGCAGACCTCTGCAGCTTCTCCTTGCCTGTGCATTATGCACAACTTCTTTTGTCGTGAACACTCTGATGTTGCTCGGCCCCACGTTTCCTCGTTTTCATCTTCAGAAGGTTAGAGGCATGAGATTCGCAGCACTGCCTGGGAGAGGGGCGAACCCCATCTCTCTCCTTCTCGCTCTCCTGTAACGCTGCCCTTTCCGTGCCAGGCATGATGGTGCTGTTGTCCCGAGAGAGCTTCCAGGACAGTCCAAGCCTCTTGTCACGGGAAAGCCATCAACACACAGGCTGCAATTGGGCAAAACCCTGAGTCCTAGGGCTGCACTTGGGGCTCCCCTCGCAATGTCCCAAGGTCACACTGCCCTTTGGATCCAGTGAGGTGCCATCAAGGTTGTCTGGCCAAGTGGGCAGAGGATGGAGGTGGGCAGAGGACGGATACTGGAGCCTACTAACACCAAAGTTACACAGGAGCTTTACACACGAAGCCTTCACACACAATGGCCTTTAACCTTGGGCTCCTCTCATCAAAGCTTCTCAGATCAGATTTCAAACTGAGGCCTTTCTCCCACTGAGGCCTTCTCACACTGAGGGCTCTCTTAGACTGAGGCCTTTCTCCCACTGAGGCGAACTGCGCCAGGCGCTCCCCTCGCAACGTCCCAAGGTCACACTGCCCTTTGGGTCCAGTGAGGTGCCATCCACGTTGTCTGGCCAAGTGGGCAGAGGATGGAGCTATGCTCCTACCCACCCAAGAGGCTGACCGCTGCTTCTGCCGTGAGATCACTAGTGTGGTCGGGATCATGCCCGCTTACTCATATAAACAGTCCCTCCTTTGTGAGCTCTGCCTCCTCCTCCTCACTTTCCCTGCCCTTGTTCCATATCTCCTCTTATTGTGGAGCCCTGGCAATGGGTGGGAAGGGCACTTTTTGGAGTGGAAACCACTGGGTGGGATACTTGTATTGGCAGCTGCTCGCCGGGCGAGGCGTTGGGTGAGGCTGCCATTGGACCGACCCATGACGTTCTCACTTCTCTCTTGGAAAGCATTGCAGGGACGCAGGCCTCCCCTCGTTCCGATCTCTCGCACGCATGGACAGATCGGTTCCACGGGTTTTCGACAAGTATAAAAGCCCTCTGAGCAGTTGCCAACCGTTCTTCACACTTCAGGACCTTCTTAAATAAATCTGTTGCGTGGAGAACACAGAGTTTGGCACATTTTCCGTGCCAAAAAACACCCCTCTCTCCCCATGTTTCTGACGCTAAAAGCGCACTTGTTTTGTGTCGAGCGGAGGAGTCCTGGAGTGTGAAGAATGGCACTTAGACAAGGGTCTGTTTCCTTGAAGTAGTGTTTGGGGAGGGTGAGGAAATCTACTGTGGAAGGACCTGTGATCAGAGAGAGGTTCGGTTTGCACAAGGAAGAGTAAAGAATTGGGGCCACTGAAGAAAAAGAATGGGTTTTGGGGGGGCAAAGGAAGGCCACCTGGCTGGATTTGGACCCCTAAAAGGGCTTCTTGGGTACCCTGGCTCCTCTTCACAGTGTCCACCTTCCCCTTTTGGCACTGTCCAGCAGACCCTCTTTTCTCCAACCCTTGCCCTTGTTGACAGGGGCGGCTCAACCATTACGCAAAGTAAGCTGTTGCGGTACAGTTGGATTTGCCCAGGGGCGCTCTTGAGGCGCTCTTGGGGGAAAATAGACTTTTGACATATGCGAGTTGTAGTTACTGGGATGTATAGTTCACCTACAATCAAAGAGCATTCTGAACTCCACCAATGATGGAATTAGCTTGCATCCCCAGGGGCGGCGAACCCATTACGCAAAGTAAGCCGCTGCGGTAGAGTTGGTTTTGCACAGGGGCGCTCTTGAGGTGCTCTTGGGGGAAAATAGACCTTGACATACGCAAGTTGTAGTTACTGGGATGTATAGTTCACCTACAATCAAAGAGCATTCTGAACTCCACCAATGATGGAATTGAACAGAACTCCCACGACGAACAGAAAATATATATCAGTGATTGGTTGGGGGGAGGCGCCAAAATACTGTTTACTTACCGTCGAAGATTACCTAGGTCCGCCTCTGCTTGTTGAATAAAGGACACCCCCCTCTCTTTCGTTCTTCCTTCCTTCCTTCCTTTCTCTCTTCCTGTTTCTTTCTCTCCTTCCCGTCTGCGGATGCTAATCTCTCTTTGCTATCGTTTTGCTCTCACCCGAAGCCCACTGGTGGACCACAGGCGGTACAAAAGGGTGAGTGGAGCAACTGCCTGCTGGCCTTGTTTCTCTTCCATTGGGAATAAGATACCTCTATTTATATAAATATATATATATATATCTCCAGATATATATACACCTCTCTCTTTCTCCCTTCTCTCTCCCTTTCTCTCTCTCTTTCTTTTTCTACTCTCGCTTTCTGCTTGCTTGCATGGGGGCTGTGGCTGAGATGGCGATATGCCGCCCATGGATTCCACCTCCATCGATGCCTCGGCCGCAGCAGCCGCCCAAAGGGCCGCCCAACTCACTAACCTTTGCTGCGGAGGCCATACTAATCCAGCTGCTGCCTGGGAGAGAATGCAGGAGCATGAAGGGACGGGGGTGGGGGTGGGTGTTGTGCTCTGGGGGTCCATTATCAAAAGGGGGCATGCAGTCTTGATCCACTCGGTTGCCCTGAAAGGGGCCACTCTTCGGCCAGTGAGGCCTAGAGATGGCTTCCAAAGGCTGCCAAAGGGGAGCGGGCTGCATGGGGAGTGGGAAAGCTGTAAGCAACGGGGTGTGAGACTGACTGTGGGGCACTGGGAGGCAGCCACAGAGCCCTCTGTGGCTGGAGGAGTTTGGCCTGGACTCGGGACCTCATCACTGCCTTCTCCAAAAGCGGAGAAGGCAGTCTTGGGCTCAGGACCTCATCACACAAAAGCGGGGAAGACAAAGGGAACCATCTTGGACTCAGAACCTCATAACACAAAAGCATTTTGTCTTGGACTTGGGACATCATCACATGAAAGCAGGGGAAGGCAGAGGGAACCGTCTTGGACTCGGGACATCATCACATGAGAGTGGGGGAAGGTGGAGGGAACCGTCTTGGACTCGGGACATCATCACATGAGAGTGGGGGAAGGCGGAGGAACCATCTTGGACTCGGGACATCATCACATGAGAGTGGGGGAAGGCGGAGGAACCATCTTGGACTCGGGACATCATCACATGAGAGTGGGGGAAGGTGGAGGGAACCGTCTTGGACTCAGGACCTCATATGCTGCTCAGACATATGCTCAGACATATGCTCAGGACTTATGCTGCGTATAAGTCTAAGCATTTTGTCTTAGACTCAGGACCTCATCACATGAAAGCGGGGGAAGGCGGTGGGAACCGCCTTGGACTTAGAACCTCATCACATGAAAGCGGGGGAAGGTGGAGGGAACCGTCTTGGACTTAGGACCTCATCACACGAAAGTGGAGAAGGCAGAGGGAACCATCTTGGACTCAAGACCTCATAACACAAAAGCATTTTGTCTTAGACTCAGGACCTCATCACACGAAAGCAGGGGAAGGTGGAGGGAACCGTCTTGGACTTAGGACCTCACCACACGAAAGCAGGGAAAGCAGAGGGAACCATCTTGGACTCAGGACCTCATAACACAAAAGCATTTTGTCTTAGACTCAGGACCTCATCACACGAAAGCAGGGGAAGGTGGAGGGAACCGTCTTGGACTTAGGACCTCACCACACGAAAGCAGGGAAAGCAGAGGGAACCATCTTGGACTCAAGACCTCATAACACAAAAGCATTTTGTCTTAGACTCAGGACCTCATCACACGAAAGCAGGGGAAGGTGGAGGGAACCGTCTTGGACTTAGGACCTCACCACACGAAAGCAGGGAAAGCAGAGGGAACCATCTTGGACTCAAGACCTCATAACACAAAAGCATTTTGTCTTAGACTCAGGACCTCATCACACGAAAGCAGGGGAAGGTGGAGGGAACCGTCTTGGACTTAGGACCTCACCACACGAAAGCAGGGAAAGCAGAGGGAACCATCTTGGACTCAAGACCTCATAACACAAAAGCATTTTGTCTTAGACTCAGGACCTCATCACACGAAAGCAGGGGAAGGTGGAGGGAACCGTCTTGGACTTAGGACCTCACCACACGAAAGCAGGGAAAGCAGAGGGAACCATCTTGGACTCAGGACCTCATAACACAAAAGCATTTTGTCTTGGACTTAGGACCTCATCACATGAAAGCGGGGGAAGGCGGAGGAAACCAGCTTGGACTCAGGACCTCATAACACAAAAGCGGGGAAGGCCAAGGGAACCGCCTTGGACTTAGAACCTCATCACATGAAAGCGGGGGAAGGTGGAGGGAACCGTCTTGGACTTAGGACCTCATCACATGAAAGCAGGGAAAGCAGAGGGAACCATCTTGGACTCAGGACCTCATAACACAAAAGCATTTTGTCTTGGAGTTAGGACCTCATCACATGAAAGCGGGGGAAGGCAGAGGGAACCGTCTTGGACTTAGGACCTCATCACACGAAAGCGGGGAGGGCAGAGGGAACCGCCGTCTTCCATTCCCACTCTGTCTTCAGGGACGGCAGCCATCCCACGACCTTTCTCCACTTCCATCCGGCTTCAGTGATTGGGAGTCGGCTAGACGGCTTGTACGGTCTCTTCCGACTCTACGATTCCTCAATATGGAGTCTTCCCTCTGTCTCCCTGCACCATTGCAACAGAAGTGGCCTCACATCTGGAGATGGCAATGGAGAGAAGAGAGCATGGGACTGGGTGCAAATTCTGGCTCCTCCCGGAATAACATTCCCTGAGAGGCTGCCGGAGGGGCCCAGCTGGAGCACCTCAGACCCTTTCCCACTCCATCCAGACAACTTGTAGGCCCCGATTGTTCCGTAGGGGCTCCACAGCCCACTCAGCACTTTTTTTTGGGTGGTGGGACACTGAGTGGCCGCTTACTACTCAGCCACCCTCCACTTTCCAAGACCGCCTCTCTCTCTCTCTCTTTTTCTCGTTCTCTCTTTCTCTCTCTTCCTCGGCCTTCCTAAGTGGCCCAACCCTATTCCATCTGCTCATCAAAGGATCATTGGGCGCTTGGGGAGGAGTCAGAGTTGGGATGCTGGGGCGTTTCTGGGGAGCTCCTTCCATCACAATGTCAGACAAAACCTCGTAAGGCAGGAAAGCCAACATGACCAACCCAATCAGGCCACAAAACGGGGCATGCCACAAATGACCAGATTACCATAGGTGCAATTCACCGTTGACCATGATGGGGAAACTAGGCCTAGCATTTGGAAGAGGGTCGATCTGTGTTGTGGCGAGGGCCGTGTTTTGGAGAAACGAGGGGTCATCGGTTGGGGCCACTGGCTGTATTTTTGGGGTGCCAAAGCAGGTGAGTAGCTGGCAAGGTGTGTTCCCCAAAGGCCACAGGACTCCTTTGCAACCGCTGAGCCCTCACTGTTGCGACTTTGGCCACATCCAAAGGCAGCCCAACCTGCAAGGGAGCGTTGTGCCGTTGTGTGGGTGGCACCGGCCCTTGCGCCGATGTGGATCTGCATGCCTCTTGTCCCAAGCGGCAACGACAGCTCTGCGCCCGACGCATGCCGACGCACACAGCATGCACCGAGCGCAAGGGCCCCTTTGGGCAGAGCCCCCTTTGCACGATGACCACGGCATGGGCCACGAAGGTGCAGCCAGCTCAGGGCCAGCCCAGCATGCCTCACAGGAGCCCCCTGTGAACGGTGCATTGTGGGACGCTGCATGGAGTCGCATGCCCCTCTGCCCCCTCCGCCCGCCCGCCCCACATTGCACCTCTTAATACCTGCTGCAAATGCTGCCCCCACTGCCTCCCCCAGGTTTGGGCTAGGAATGCTCCCGCTCAGGTGCAGAGGACGGCCATGCTCAGCCAAACGGGTTCAAAAAAGGGGGGTGAGGGTCTTCACCCGGGTGGGATTCAGGAAGGAGAACGTACCTTTCGGCCTCTCTCCCTGTCCACAACGGCTTGGTGAAGCCTCTTTGATGGACAGCGGGGCCTCCAGAGCAGGGGTCCTCAAGCAGGGGTCCTACCTACCGACCTTTCTTCCTTCCTTTTCTCCTCCCTCCTTCTGTTTCCTACCTACCTTCCTTTCTTTATTACTTCCCTTTCTGTTTCCTACCTACCTACCTTCCTTTCTTTATTACTTCCCTTTCTGTTTCCTACCTACCTTCCTTTCTTTATTACTTCCCTTTCTGTTTCCTACCTACCTTCCTTTCTTTATTACTTCCCTTTCTGTTTCCTACCTACCTTCCTTTCTTTATTACTTCCCTTTCTGTTTCCTACCTACCTACCTTCCTTTCTTTATTACTTCCCTTTCTGTTTCCTACCTACCTTCCTTTCTTTATTACTTCCCTTTCTGTTTCCTACCTACCTACCTTCCTTTCTTTATTACTTCCCTTTCTGTTTCCTACCTACCTTCCTTTCTTTCTTCCTTCTTTTCCTCCTTCCTTTTTCCTTTCTGTTTCCTACCTACCTACCTTCCTTTCTTTATTACTTTCCTTTCTGTTTCCTACCTACCTACCTTCCTTTCTTTATTACTTTCCTTTCTGTTTCCTACCTACCTACCTTCCTTTCTTTATTACTTTCCTTTCTGTTTCCTACCTACCTACCTTCCTTTCTTTATTACTTTCCTTTCTGTTTCCTACCTACCTACCTTCCTTTCTTTATTACTTTCCTTTCTGTTTCCTACCTACCTACCTTCCTTTCTTTATTACTTTCCTTTCTGTTTCCTACCTACCTACCTTCCTTTCTTTATTACTTTCCTTTCTGTTTCCTACCTACCTACCTTCCTTTCTTTATTACTTTCCTTTCTGTTTCCTACCTACCTACCTTCCTTTCTTTATTACTTTCCTTTCTGTTTCCTACCTACCTACCTTCCTTTCTTTATTACTTTCCTTTCTGTTTCCTACCTACCTACCTTCCTTTCTTTATTACTTTCCTTTCTGTTTCCTACCTACCTACCTTCCTTTCTTTATTACTTTCCTTTCTGTTTCCTACCTACCTACCTTCCTTTCTTTATTACTTTCCTTTCTGTTTCCTACCTACCTACCTTCCTTTCTTTATTACTTTCCTTTCTGTTTCCTACCTACCTACCTTCCTTTCTTTATTACTTTCCTTTCTGTTTCCTACCTACCTACCTTCCTTTCTTTATTACTTTCCTTTCTGTTTCCTACCTACCTACCTTCCTTTCTTTATTACTTTCCTTTCTGTTTCCTACCTACCTACCTTCCTTTCTTTATTACTTCCCTTTCTGTTTCCTACCTACCTACCTTCCTTTCTTTATTACTTCCCTTTCTGTTTCCTACCTACCTTCCTTTCTTTATTACTTCCCTTTCTGTTTCCTACCTACCTACCTTCCTTTCTTTATTACTTTCCTTTCTGTTTCCTACCTACCTTCCTTTCTTTATTACTTCCCTTTCTGTTTCCTACCTACCTACCTTCCTTTCTTTATTACTTCCCTTTCTGTTTCCTACCTACCTACCTTCCTTTCTTTATTACTTCCCTTTCTGTTTCCTACCTACCTTCCTTTCTTTATTACTTCCCTTTCTGTTTCCTACCTACCTACCTTCCTTTCTTTATTACTTTCCTTTCTGTTTCCTACCTACCTACCTTCCTTTCTTTATTACTTCCCTTTCTGTTTCCTACCTACCTACCTTCCTTTCTTTATTACTTCCCTTTCTGTTTCCTACCTACCTACCTTCCTTTCTTTATTACTTTCCTTTCTGTTTCCTACCTACCTACCTTCCTTTCTTTATTACTTCCCTTTCTGTTTCCTACCTACCTACCTTCCTTTCTTTATTACTTCCCTTTCTGTTTCCTACCTACCTACCTTCCTTTCTTTTTTACTTTCCTTTCTTTTCCTACCTACCTACCTTCCTTTCTTTTTTTGTTTCCTACCTACCTACCTTCCTTTCTTTATTACTTTCCTTTCTGTTTCCTACCTACCTACCTACCTTTCTTTATTACTTCCCTTTCTGTTTCCTACCTACCTACCTTCCTTTCTTTATTACTTCCCTTTCTGTTTCCTACCTACCTTCCTTTCTTTATTACTTCCCTTTCTGTTTCCTACCTACCTACCTTCCTTTCTTTATTACTTTCCTTTCTGTTTCCTACCTACCTACCTTCCTTTCTTTATTACTTTCCTTTCTGTTTCCTACCTACCTACCTACCTTTCTTTATTACTTCCCTTTCTGTTTCCTACCTACCTACCTTCCTTTCTTTATTACTTTCCTTTCTGTTTCCTACCTACCTACCTTCCTTTCTTTATTACTTTCCTTTCTGTTTCCTACCTACCTACCTTCCTTTCTTTATTACTTTCCTTTCTGTTTCCTACCTACCTACCTTCCTTTCTTTATTACTTTCCTTTCTGTTTCCTACCTACCTACCTTCCTTTCTTTATTACTTTCCTTTCTGTTTCCTACCTACCTACCTTCCTTTCTTTATTACTTTCCTTTCTGTTTCCTACCTACCTACCTTCCTTTCTTTATTACTTTCCTTTCTGTTTCCTACCTACCTACCTTCCTTTCTTTATTACTTCCCTTTCTGTTTCCTACCTACCTACCTTCCTTTCTTTATTACTTTCCTTTCTGTTTCCTACCTACCTACCTTCCTTTCTTTATTACTTTCCTTTCTGTTTCCTACCTACCTACCTTCCTTTCTTTATTACTTTCCTTTCTGTTTCCTACCTACCTACCTTCCTTTCTTTATTACTTTCCTTTCTGTTTCCTACCTACCTACCTTCCTTTCTTTATTACTTTCCTTTCTGTTTCCTACCTACCTACCTTCCTTTCTTTATTACTTCCCTTTCTGTTTCCTACCTACCTACCTTCCTTTCTTTATTACTTTCCTTTCTGTTTCCTACCTACCTACCTTCCTTTCTTTATTACTTTCCTTTCTGTTTCCTACCTACCTACCTTCCTTTCTTTATTACTTTCCTTTCTGTTTCCTACCTACCTACCTACCTTTCTTTATTACTTCCCTTTCTGTTTCCTACCTACCTACCTTCCTTTCTTTATTACTTCCCTTTCTGTTTCCTACCTACCTTCCTTTTACTTTCCTTTCTGTTTCCTACCTACCTACCTTCCTTTCTTTATTACTTTCCTTTCTGTTTCCTACCTACCTACCTTCCTTTCTTTATTACTTTCCTTTCTGTTTCCTACCTACCTACCTTCCTTTCTTTATTACTTTCCTTTCTGTTTCCTACCTACCTACCTTCCTTTCTTTATTACTTTCCTTTCTGTTTCCTACCTACCTACCTTCCTTTCTTTATTACTTTCCTTTCTGTTTCCTACCTACCTACCTTCCTTTCTTTATTACTTTCCTTTCTGTTTCCTACCTACCTACCTTCCTTTCTTTATTACTTTCCTTTCTGTTTCCTACCTACCTACCTACCTTTCTTTATTACTTCCCTTTTCCTTTTCTCCTTGTTTCCTTTCCTCTTTTTCTGCTGTTTCCCACCTACCTTTCTTTCTTCCTTTTCTCCTCATTTTCTACCTTCCTTTCTTCCTTTTTTCCTTGTTTCCTACCTTTCTTCCTTTCTGACTTATTTCCATGCAGTCATGCCAGCCACATGGACTTGGAGGTGTCTTCGGACAACGCCAGCTCTTTGGCTTAGAAATAGAGATGGGCGCCACTTTCAGAGTCGCACTCGACTAGACTTAATGTCAAGGGGAAACCTTTAGCTTGTGGGGCCAGATCTGGCCCGCGGGCCATAGTTTGAGGGCTCCGACTCTAGAGCGAGTCCTCCGAAGGCCTTCTTTCCGAGCCCGTGACCTGCCGAGAGGGGAAACTCAGACGTTCATTTTTGGAGTAACGCGCCACTGAACCGTTCTCTCCTACACGGATTAGTTGATGGGGGAAATGGACGTGGGATTCCTGCTGTGTATTTGGCCCCAAAGACGGGTCGCCTTTCCGTGAGGGAAGAGAGCCGATGCCAATCCCCGTCCCCTTCCTCTCTGCCTTTTGTCTTTTCAGAGCGAAAGAATTGAGAAGGGCCAAGGAACCTGAAGGGCGAGGCAGCGGCGGCGGAAGCGGCGGCGGCAGCGGAGGAAGCATCCCCTAGCAATGTGACGTTGCTTTTCAGACTGTTTTTCATTTTCTGTTTTTAGCAGAAACATGCAACAACAATTAAACAAATTTAATTATTTGAAGAAGAACAAAAAAACACAAAACAAACTTGACTGCGCTGCTGAGCGGATCAGCGGCACGATTTTAAACGGTAATGTTTAGTCATTACATTTGCACTTTCATGGACGATTTTTAATTTGTTCAGCAAGACATCTTGGGACTCGAATCTTTTGGTTTGGATCATGGGGGGAGGCGGGGTCGGGGTTTTCAGTGACACCCGGAAGGAAGGACTTCTTGCGAGTTGCTTCGTTCCTCTCGGAAACCAACCAACCAACGAAAACAAAAAGAAAAAAGAGAGAAGCAATTATTAACCATCCTTTTCATATAGGGCTGTATTGAAAAAAAACAAAACAAAACCATGTGTGGAACTGTACAAACATGATACCAAAAAAAGGCAAAAACCCCACAATCCAAGAATCGCTATTCCTGCACCTGTCAATCATCTCCAAGACCCGGAAAATGCTGGGATTCTCCAGGAAAAAGGAAGGAAAGGGGAGCGAAGGGAGAAAGAAGACGAGAAGGGAAAGGAAGGGTCCGGTCCCTTTCCTTCCTTCCTTCCTTCCTTTTATCCCTCCTTCCATCTTTCTTTCCTTTGGGTCCACTCCTCCGCCTCCTCCTTCATCATTTCCTTTGCACTTCCTCCGGCTTTCCGTTCGTTCGTTCGTTCACCCGAAACTCTCGTCGCGTCCGTCCCTTTTGTCCAGAAAGCGTTTCCGAGGCAAACGGGTATTTGCAGGGGACGATGGGACGCGCGGGAGGGTGTCCTCCTTTTTGTTCCGATCCTCGTCCTCCGTTGTTTGGTTCCGTCATTCCCCCCTTTTTTGTTTTTCTTTTGTTGTTGTTTCTCTTATTCTCTTCCTCTTTCTCTCTCTAGAGCCGCCTTCGAGTCTCAGTCTCTTTCTCTCTCTCAACTGCCATAATGCACTTCTTCTCATATTTGGCACTTTATTTTCAGGCCTTACTTCACAAAACTCAAGGTTTCTAACTTGTTTTACTTCTAGATGATTTGTAAACGATGATTTCGGCAAACCTTCAGACCTCTTGTTCCGACCGAAGAGTCAATCTATATAGCGTGCAAATTCAGATGTTGACTGGACGAGGAAAAACGAGAAAGCAAAAAAAGGGAAGCTGCAGCATTTCTGGACGAGGAAAAAGAAAAAAAGCAAAAAAGGGAAGCTGCAGCATTTTCGGCCAGTAAATTCCTTGTTTTGGCTATTTCGAAAAGAAAACAAAACAGAACAAAAAGAATATCTATATCTAGGCAGTTTCTGTATATAGGACGGAAGCAGAACGACGGGGAATGAGAAATACATATTTGAAAAGGGAATATATTAATTGCTAAATATTTTATTCGCAAAGGGTCAATAACTCGGCGAGAGAAATTTGCGTTATTTGTATAGTTTTGTCTGAATGAGCCAGAAGAGTGTGGATGTTTGTACATATTGTATATATCTACCGAAAAAACAAAAAACAAAAACAAACAGATGTGCATGACTTCAAGGACAACAAAACAAACAAAAAAAAGAAAACGACAAAGCAAAGCATTAGTGGCTTACGGTCTGTAAAATGAAACAAAAAAAACTTTATTTCACTATAAGAAACTTTATTTTAAATGTTCTTTAGAAGGACATTTTGCTAAAGCATGACTAAACTGCAGAAGCAAAAGAGCTAATGTATTTAGACTTAGGAAAAAAAGGCAAAAAGTAACATTACTTTAAAACACAAAACAAAAAAAAGAGAGATGTTTACATTTGGTTTTTTGGCTACCAGGAGATTTCGTTTCCGTTCCGTTCCGTTGGGTTTTGTTGATTTCCTCCTTTTTTTTTGCCGATGGTGCCAAGTAAAAAGTGAATGCTAATATTGCTTAAGAAGAAGAAAAAAAACTATTATTATTATTATTAAGTTATTTTGCAAAGCAGATAATCATAACGAATACGAAATTGTATCTAGCTTAAACACCATACACTCACTCCAATAAGGAACACGTAGAATGAATATTAAAAATAAAAAAAAGAAGAAAATAGTATGAAAGTAGAGAGAAAAACATAAAAAAACAAAAAATAATATGTCTCACATGTCCATATTTCCTGCTGGAAGTCAGACAATGTACTTTGAAATTGCACAAATTTAAAGTTGAAAAAATAATAATAATAATAATGATTAAAAGATGCAAGCAAGGTTTTGTAGGGGTGTCATGGTATATTGCTATTTCCACATAGAGAGGAGCCAAAGAAATCTGTTTTGAATTAGTCCTTTTGATAAAGAGAAACGGAGGTCTCTCGTGGCCGGAGGGGGGGCAAAGGTCAAAGGGCGGGGGTCGGCCTTTGCAGCCCCTCGTCTCACCCCTAACCCCCCCCCCTTTCGCCCCGCTGACCGCCTTTCTCGCTTTAGTGCCAGTTTCAATGTTCGGTCCGAGGCTACTTGGGTGGACGGAATAGGCATTGCTCTTGCTGGATCCCAGAAGACAACGACAACGACGACGTTGACGACGACGACGACGATGGTGACAATAATAATAATGTTTAGTCTTGCTCTCGAGAGGCTTATTGTGAAGCCTAAAAATACTCACAATTCTGTGAAGTTTTTTGTTTTTAAATTTTATGTTTAATGTTACTTTAACAAAAAAAGAGGTGTCTTTAAAAAGAAATAGAAAGCATTTAAAACACACAAAAGATTGTGGCAAAACACAAAAAAAAAAGAAGCCAACCTGGGGTCAGTGCTCTTGGTGCCTTTTCTAGCGTTATTAATTGTGTGTGCGTCTTTCTCTCTCTCTCTCTCTCTTTCTYGAATTGATTCTGTTCACTGCCAGGACTGAAAATGAATAAATCCATGTAATGCGGGRTCRGGGGGGTGGCGGGGGGGGGGACGAAGCTTGCTCTCTGAATYCTTTGAATCCGGTTATTTCCCTTGGGGTCCTTCCGAGGAAGACCCTTCCCTTCCCTTCCCTTGGCCTTCCTCCACGACAGGGCTGTCAAACTCATTCCCACGTTATTCCCGTATCGGCAGGGGCGGCGCAACCCATACGCAAAGTAAGCAGTCGCGGTAGAGTTGATTTTGACCAGGGGTGCTCTTGAGATTATCAAACCCTTCCAGTATTTTCTGTGGTCATGGAAGTCCTGTGTGCCAAGTTTGGTTCAATTCCATCGTTGATGGAGTTCGGAATGCTCTTTGGTTGTAGGTGAACTATACATCCCAGTAACTACAACTCCCAAATGAGAAAACATCCCCCCAACCCAGGGCCGGCTCAACCCTTACGCAAAGTAAGCCGTTGCGATATTTATTTATTTATTTATTTATTATTTAAACTTATATACTTGGTTTTGCCCAGGGGCGCTCTTGGGGAGCTCTTGGGGGGAAATAGACTTTTGACATATGCGAGTTGTAGCTACTGGGATGTATAGTTCACCTACAATCAAAGAGCATTCTGAACTCCACCAATGATGGAATTGGCTTGCATTCCCAGGGGCGATGAAGCCATTACGCAAAGTAAGCCTTTGCGGTAGAGTTGATGTTGCCCAGGGGAGCTCTTGAGGCGCTCTTGCGGGGAAATAGACTTTGACATATGCGAGTTGTAGCTACTGGGATGTATAGTTCACCTACAATCAAAGAGCATTCTGAACTCCACCAATGATGGAATTGAGCCAAATATGGCACACAGAACTCCCATGGCTCAGGAGAAACAATGATGGATCTGGACCAAGGGCGGCTCAACCATTACGCAAAGTAAGCTTTCGCGGTAGAGTTGATGTTGCCCAGGGGCGCTCTTGAGGCGCTCTTGGGGGAAATAGACTTTGACATAATAATAATAATAATAATAATAATAATAATAACAATAATAATAATAATAGAAAGATAGGATCCTAGAGTTGGAAGAGAAACACACCATCCAATTACTCCCAAACAGATGGCCATCCAGCCTCTCTTTAAAAAGTTTCCAGAGAATGGAATTCCTCCAGAGTATATTTGTCTGTAGAGTTGGAAGGCACCATTCGATCCCTCCCGACAGATGGCCATCCAGACTCAATTTAAAAAAACCCAGCAGAGGGGTCCCTAAAGGGCACCCAGCCTTACCCAGCCAAGGAGGCACCATTCGATCCCTCCTGACAGATGGCCATCCAGCCTCTCCTTCAAAGCCTCTCCTTCAAAGTATATTTCTCTCTAGGGCTCCCTCAAAGCCATCTAGTCCCACCCCTTTCTGCCCTAAAGGAAGGCAACATTCGATCCCTCCTAACAGATGGCCATCCAGCCTCTACTTAAGGAACGCCAGCAGAGGCGACCCGAAGGGACATGGAGCCTTACCCATGTAAACAAGCAAGGGAGGCAGGGGCGGCTCAACCCTTACGCAAAGTAAGCAGTCGCAGTAGAGTTGGTATTGCCCAGGGGCGCTCTTGAGGCGCTCTTGGGGGAAAATAGAGCTTGACATATGCGAGTTGTAGTTACTGGGATGTCTAGTTCCCCTACAATCAAAGAGCATTCTGAACTCCACCAATGATGGAATCGAACCAAATATGGCACACAGAACTCCCACGACGAACAGAAAATATATATCCCCCAACCCCCAACCAATCACAGAGTGCTTCTCCTGTAGATTCCCAAGGCCACATTCCTGAAAGGGGCCCACGGCAGCCGTCCTCTGAGGAACTGTCTTCTGAGGATGATTTGTCAGGTGCAGAAGTTAATGAGACTGAAGACAGAAGGCTTTTGTAAACTAAGACAATGTTCCCAGAAAATATATATCAGTGATTGGTTGGGGGGGGGGGGTTGTGCCAAAATACTGTTGGCTTACTGTTGAAAATTACCTATCGGCCTCATTATGGTTGCTTCCCAAAGGCCGTTGAAATTCGCAAACGGAGACAGGGAGAGGGCCTGCTATTGTTTTCCTATCCCGCCGTGTTATAGAACGACGGCTCCCATCCCTTGCAATTATCCGGTGAGGTTAAGAACCAAAGGCTGAAGGGCGATTTATCGTCTCCGCAAGCCTTGAATCTCAACCTAACTGCCGGAGCTCCCGGTGGTGCCATGGGTTAAACCCTTGTGCCGACAGGCAGGGGCGGCTAACCCTTACGCAGAGTAAGCCTTCGCGGTGGAGTTGATGTTTCCCAGGGGCGCTCTTGAGGCGCTCTTGGGAGAAAATAGACCTTGACCTATGCGAGTTGTAGTTACTGGCATGTATGGATCACCTACAATCAAAGAGCATTCTGAACTCCACCAAGGATGGAATTGGCCCAAACCTCCCACACAGACAGGGGCGGCTCAACCCTTATGCAAAGTAAGCCTTCGCGTTATAGTCGATTTTGCCAGGGGCGCTCTTGAGGCGCTCTTGGGGGAAAATAGAGCTTGACATATGCGAGTTGTAGTTACTGGGATGTATAGTTCACCTACAATCAAAGAGCATTCTGAACTCCACCAAGGATGGAATTGAACCAAATATAGCCCACGACGAACAGAAAATATATATCAGTGATTGGTTGGGGGGGGGGGACCAAAATACTGTTTGCTTACCATTGAAAATTACCTCCGACAGGTCAGAGAATGCAGATGAGCTCCCTCTGTCAGCTGCAGCTCCCTATGTAGAGACATGAGAGAAACCTCCCACAAGGATGGCAAGGCATCACAACAGTCGGCAATGTCCTTGCAGGCGGCCAATTCTCTCGCACCAGAAGTGACTTGCAGTTTCTCAAGTTGCTCCTGACGCAATTTTAAACATCTCTTTCAATTCTCCAGGGATGATGAGGTTAAGGAGCAAAGGTTGAAGGGTGTTCGACCACCTCTGCAAGCCTTATATCTCAACGTAAACACTGCTCGCCCGACGAAACAGAACATACGTCTCTGTATCCTGACTCCCATCAGCTCTGTGTCGGGAGTCGGGATACAGGCGGATTCGGCCTGTAGGTTGTGAGTTTGACACCCCGACCAAGTGGAGAGAGGGCTCCTTCCCTCCTTCCTTCCTTCCTTCCTTCCTTCCTTCCTTCCTTCCTTCCGTTGCTTGCTTTGTTGCTCTTTCCCTGGCCAAAGGAATCTGCGAGCGGCTTTGGCCTTCCTACCTGGAACTGACCTTTTGTTCCCCCTCCCCAAAAAAGAGTAGTGACCCACCCCCCACCCAGTGGCCCCGTTTTCCCCGTTGTTTGGAGTCGGAGTGCTGCGCGCTCTCTCGCTCTGCAATCCCCACAAAAAACAGAGCGGTGGTTCCGCCGTTTTGCTCCTCACGAGACCCGGCGGTGCGTCCGAGGTCGGGTCCAAAGGTGGTATCCCCTCTTTCCTTTGCCTGTTTTTCCGTCCACCTGTCCGTTCGGCAGGAAGCCCCCTCTGCCGCCCCAAAATTACCCCCCTCCCCAAAAAATCCAGTATCCGATTCTCCCCGCATCGCCTTTCCTGACGGCAGGCCTCGGTCGGGAAGGGCGCCTCATCCTCTCCTTCCCGGGACCCCCCTTCCCGTGTCTCCCCGAAATCAGACTTGCTCCTCCTTTGTGTGACGCCATCCTCATGATCCCGTGTGTCGAAATACGAATGGCCCCCGCGTGTGAGAGAAAATACCGGACATGACATGAATAAACAACCCCCCCACCCGCCCGCCCCTCGACGGCTGCACGCTTCATGGCAGTTCCACACCGTAGTCCGCGCCCAAACCGACCGACGGAGGGGGGACCGGGGGGGCCCCCCGAGACTTGCATGTTGAACCTAGTTATAGATGTTCTCCTTTTGT